TACAAAAACGCTGCTCTGTTTAAAACAAAACGAGAGTGCTAAGAGTCCCCAGAGGTAACACAACCACTAAACGACAAATTGGGGCATGAAATATCCGCAATTTTTATGGAACACTCATATAGACATTCTTGGTATATCCGAAACATGGTGGTCAGATTTAGGTGTAATCGGCACTGAAACACAAAAATATTGTATTCGGGCTACCAGTAAACATAGAACTACTGTTCGTATTATTACTAAATTGTATGATCGCCTAAATTCAACATCGAATTGACAAATAAGAAGAAAGAAGAAGAATGGCCAAGTCAGCCACTTTTAATTATTAAAATATTAATCTTGTATATAATAAATTTATGTAGAACAATAACATTCACAAAATAATATTTTAATTAATAAAGCTTAAGTCTTCAGTTTTTTTCTAGTTCATGTCAATAATAACTACCTACTATATCTAAATATATAAAAACCTGTCCTCATAAGCATGTTAATCAGGTTTCCATTCATACTCGTAAAGTATTTAAATACAGTTGAAAGACCAGGTTACTACAGAAACTCATAGGTGTTCTTTTTGCCTTATAACTATATTTTATATTTCTCTTATAATATTTTTTATTATAATTTTTAGAATTAAAAAAATGCTTTGCTAAGAATTTCGAAAACTACCATAGTTTAAAATATTGATTAGTTCTTGAATAAAAACTGAACCTTGTTATGAAATTTGACTAACAATATATTATATAGGAAACAATGGAATGCCCTACTTGTATAAATTTTATGGTTAAGTTTTTCAATTTTTATAAATAATAAAAAGACTTGAGTTTAAAGTACATCGCAATTATCACTTATCAAAGGCATTACCTTTTAAGTAGCAACTTGTACTATTTAAGTGTAAAATCTATTATCTTTTGTTGTAACTTATTTACCAAGTCTTCATATTCTGATAAGAAAATAAAAACTAACTGACTAGAGAAATTATTTATTATTCTCAAGTTAAGTGTGTTAAAGGTAAAGTAAATTCAAAAGTTTTTCCATTGGAATTTTGTTTTCTTTAAATAAAAATTATTCTTTAATTCACAAAATTTGATAAAGAATGATATTAACATTTATATATTATATTCTTAAAATATCAAACAAGTGATAAA